ATCACGCGTATCATGGTATCCGGTGTCTCACCATCTTACCGTTCGGGAAAGAGAGATTTGGAAGAGAAAAGAGTTATAAGAACAAGTGTTGGGATGGAAAATCTAGAAGAGGATCGTGATCGGATGACAAGGGTGCTTGCATGGCTTCTGTCATTGGGCCACGTGTCCTTTCTCAATCCGGTTCTATCCGAATGAAATATATCCATCGTCTTCGTCCGTGTTGTGCCATTTATTCTCGTGCACGTGTGTTTTTTTCCTTCTAAATCCCCACAACAACCGGAGACAAAGCTAATATAATATGAATTTCACAACCGATATTTTATAGTATTGTTGAAACTATAAAAGAATATTTTTTACAAATGTAGGACGCCAAAATTGTGTACGGAGAGGATGAGATTTAAATTTAATCGATATTTGATACATATTTTGAATTTTGATCATATAATTTGCAGAGAATTTCTTTGTAAATTCAACTTTCCTATTTTGTTTTCATGTTAAAGGTACAAAGTTGGAGAGAGTAACGGTCCAATTTGAATGTGTGAGGCAAAAAAAAAAAAACCATAGTTATCAGTCCAACCTTATCGACATAATCGAAGCAAATCTCAGTTCTTCCCCTCAGAGCCACAGACCAAAAAACCCCCAAATTACTCCATGGCTTCTCCCTCTCTCTCACATCTATTACTGTTAGTTTCGCTCTTCTCCGCTCCAAAACCCTAATGCATCGCAAAACCCCACGAGAGCCCCCATTCCCATCGCGATTCCATCTCTTCCTCCGGTGATATGGCTTCCCTATCGCCGGGGTGTTCGTTTATTCACGCGCCGGCGGCCGCTGTCGTGTCTGATTCCAGGCGTGTGAGTCGGAGATATCGCCGGGGGGTTCGTTTATTCACGCGCCGCCGGCCGCTGTCGTGTCTGATTCCAGGCGTGTGAGTCGGAGAAGATCGACGATCGTGGCCGGCGGTCTCGGCAATGTCTCCGAAGTTGTCCGCAAGGACGTGGAGTTCTTGAAGGACAAAATCGGCGGCGGAATCCGGTGGGCGAACAAGGCCTTTCGTGTCCCGGAAGCGACGAAGAAGGCGGAGGAAGTGTTCTGGCTTCGGAATCTAGAAGACCCTGCTGCTCCGCCATTGGAGCCTCAGTCTTGGCCACAACCTTCGTACCCAGGTCGGTGTTCTCTTGTCTTGGTTATGTTTTTGGTAATAATGATTGTTTCAGTAACTAGGGTTTCCTGTTGAGACAATATTTTCGACAAATATCAGAAGGTCTGGAGCTAATTGCTGTGTCCACAAAGAAAGTTGTTCTTGATTTGCTACATAGTGTCTAGGGAAACTTCTTCAGAGTAGAGGAATAAAATCTTCTCACATGATTGACGATTCTGGGCACTTATGATCGGAGTTGGGGCAAGTAAAGTTTGTGTTTTTATGCTGTAGACTTGTACTACTAAGATATATGCAGTAGTGAGTAGCAGTGTCTGTCATGTTATATAATCCGAGGAAACCACCCTTTTTCTACCATTTTCGTGTAAAAGGGTGGAGAGTAACTGCTTTTGGCAAAGGAGTCACACTACATCAGCAGAGCATTTTGTATGCAGGATCCTAGCTTGTTATATTTGAAACAAAACACCGAGTCTATGATTATATCATTATAGGCCCTTAGATTGCTTTAACTTTTGTTATCAATCTGCATCTTTGTGTTTCCGAGCTTTTCACTGTTAATATTCGCCCCAAAAACATTTTGATGTATGTTTTTATTTGTAGGGCTTTCTGGTGTGGACTTGTTCATGGCTGATGTCAAAGCCTTGGAGGCGTATGCTGGTTATTTCTACTATCTGTCGAAGCTGTGGTCTAGACCACTTCCTGAAGTTTATGAACCGGAAGCTGTTGCAGACTACTTTAGTTGCAGGCCACATGTTGTGGCTTTTAGACTTCTTGAGGTATCTTTAAAGAATTTTGGTTGCTTGCTTCTGAATTCTATTCACTAGATGATTTAAATTCTAGATTAGCTCATGAGATCTAAAATTACCTCAATCCACTTACAATATCTTTTATGAAAGTAAAAATTTTGTAAATGTTTGATACAAGTAAATGGGTTTTTGACTGCCCAATTAAAGATATGTTTTTTTGGGTTCAGTGTGATATTGGCCATCTCTACAGTGTATATTCTGGGAAATTTGGAAAATTTCATAGGCAGCGTTTAACATTTGAGGATGCTTACTGATTATTCAATTCTCACTCAAATTGCTTTGAGCTAACAAGTTCATGGATAATTTTGGTTGACTTCTGTCTGAGTCATCTATAGTGTATATTCTGGGAAAATGTGTCTGTTCAAGTTCTGTTCATTCTTGTCTTGAGAGAACCACTGATATGGTTTAATTATTTTGCTAATGTGTAGGTGTTTTTCGCTTTCATGTTTGCTGCTATCAGAATACAGACATCAGAATCAGATAAGGGCAGAAACGTAGAAGCTTCAGGGAAAAATTTTGGAATTGTGTTGAAAGAAACCCTGCTAAATCTGGGCCCAACTTTTATCAAAGGTCAGTGGGTATTGCTGTGAAGTATGAAACTGTGCTTGAGCTCACTTGCTCCTTTTATATTTTAGGAGCCATATACTAAGTATTTTGTTCTATTACTTATTATGTTTCCTTCTCTTCTGCTGATCCAGTTGGCCAATCCCTTTCCACAAGGCCAGATATCATTGGGACAGAAGTCTCCAAGGTCAGTAGAACTTATATGTAATTGCTTGTGGCTTTTCTTTTTACTTCTAGTTGAAAAATAGTGATATGTTTTTTATGTTTTTATGCTTTGTTAGATTAGGGGCCTTTCCAGTGTGCGATTCCGAATTATTTCTCGTCATATTTTGCTGTTCTTAATAATGCTAGTTGGCTATCTGACTTTCATTTGTGGACTATGTTCTTACTGCAGGCGCTATCTGACCTACACGAGCAAATCCCTCCATTTCCCAGGCCCCAGGCTATGAAAATCATTGAAGAGGAATTGGGCGCTCCAGTTGAATCATATTTTAGTCACATCTCTGAAGAAACTATAGCGGCAGCATCCTTTGGTCAGGTACATAATAAGCTAACAAATAAGCTTGTATGAATTATCTGCTGTGACTTAGCATGTGGAATGTGCATTGAAGTTAATCTTCCCTTTCCATCTTGTCCTTCATGTTTGATGTGCATTTTAGGTGTACCGAGGAAGGACTGTTGATGGTTTAGATGTAGCTGTGAAAGTTCAACGACCTGATCTGCGACATTCCGTACTACGTGACATTTACATCCTTCGGCTTGGGGTGTGTACCAAAACCACTTATTTTTTTCATATCGATCTGTTTCAAACTTGTGAAACCTATATGATACAGGAGTTTAAATTTTGCAGTTGGGCATATTGCGAAAGGTAGCAAAGAGAAAAAGTGATATCCGTTTATATGCTGATGAGCTTGGAAAGGGTTTAGCTGGAGAACTTGACTACACTTTGGAGGCCACCAATGCTTCTGAGTTTCTGGTACTGATCATTAGGTTGTTGTTTTTGTCCCTAGATAATTGTCCATTTTAATGTGTTATATAGTAAAGCTAATGTCATTTGTTCCACTTCTGCTAGAGAAATAGTCTTCACAAGCTGTTTGTTCACTTTAAGCATGATGTGCCTTGAAATCTGCACAAGAATCAAACTGTAGTATATTTTTGCTTGTTTAAATAGTAACCATTGTCCGGACCCTGGAATAGGACATGCTCGCTGTTCTTGCCGGTGTCAATTTTCTTTCCCTTTTTTGTTGGGATTGCTCAGTAATTTTGTTGGCTGTGACCGACTAAAGTACTTTGTTCCTGAAGGAAGCTCACTCACGTTTCCCCTATATCCGGGTTCCAAAAGTGTATCGACATTTAACACAGAAAAGGATTCTGACCATGGAATGGATAGTTGGTGAGAGCCCTTCCGATTTACTCTCAATATCTTCTGGCCACTCTGATTATGACTTCCAGAATTCTGAGGGACAAGAATTCGAAGCTAAAAGGCGTCTTCTTGATCTGGTTGGTTTAACATTTACTTTGAGAAAGATTAATGACTTCATGAACTCTAGATATTCTATTTTTATGTTATTAATGGGGGTACATGACTATGGGTAGTTTAACTTTTACGACATTGTGACCAGCTTGGATTTAAAAGGTCACTGACCAGATCAGAGCATATGGCACATCTTGCAGTGGGCTTTGGTTGTTTGAAAGAAACTACATCTTAACTAATGTTTTGATCCATTCTAATTTCTTATGGTCATTTCATGAATCCTTACTCTACAGTTGATCCAGTTGCTTAATCTTTTTTCCCCTTCTCTTTCAATGAATTGTAGGTTAGAAAAGGCGTAGAAGCAACACTAGTTCAACTCCTTGAAACAGGTCTTTTACATGCAGATCCACATCCTGGAAATTTACGTTACACATCATCAGGACAAATAGGGTAACTCCTGATAACTTCGTTATCATAGCACTGAAAAGTCCTATGATCATGACCGGTTGATCCTGATTTAATTTTGTGTTTTTTGTGCAAGGTTTTTGGATTTTGGTTTAGTTTGTCGAATGCAAAGAAAACATCAGTTCGCCATGCTTGCATCAATTGTGCACATTGTTAATGGTGATTGGGCTTCTCTTGTTCAAGCATTGATTGAGATGGATGTCATCAAGCCAGGGACCAATACACGTCGTATTACTATGGTATAAAAATAATTTCTTGTAAAACATATTTTTCTCCCATCAGCTTAAGACTTTTAAAAAATTATATAGGATCTGGAAGATACAATGGGAGAGGTTGAACTTAAAGATGGGATTCCTGATATCAAGTTCAGCAAGGTGAGTATAGTAGTTAATGCAGCTTGATTGCCCTGAGGGGCATATGTACTCATGATGCATACCTCAAGGATTTCCGAGCAGCACCAAGTGAAATTACTTTGATCTCTTATTGAAAATGGAAGGTTCTATAGATCAACATTCAAAGTTGGATTAGTAGCAGACCGTCACAGTTCTTCCCCATCCTTCTAGTTGAGCACTTAAAACTTGGGAAGATAGTAGATTTAGTCCTATGTTCTTGTTCATTTCTTCAATTGCAACTGGCATATATGACCTTAGGCTAGGTAGGTACAAGATCAAGCTGAGAATCCAAATTATACCTTTTGAGATGCACTTCATGGTCAAGTGACACCACTAATTGCTTTATAAGTAATGGGTTGGGTTGAGATGGTTGCTGAAGTGTGGCTCTGAACTTTAATCTGCAACTGAACTGATTGAACATTGTTATAGTTTAACGTTCTGATCAAATACTGGTTCTATTCCTTTTCCTCATGTTTATAATTTTGTGACACTCTAGGTACTTGGAAAAATAGTTTCGGTGGCCCTGAAATATCAGTTCCGCATGCCGCCGTACTTCACACTTGTCTTACGTTCTCTCGCCTCCTTGGAAGGTATTTGCGACCTAGCCCTGGAGTCTCTATGTATAATTTATTGACCCCAAAAGAAAAAAAAAAGGAATCACGTCTGTATTATTGTAAGTAATTTTCAGAGAGAAGCCTTCTTTTGCTCTGGTATCTGTGTGGAGTGCATTATGTATGGTAATCTGATCCACATGCAAGTTTGTTGTATAGCTATTAGCTATTTGCAATAGATACCAAACCCACATTCAGGAATAGATGAGGTTAAGCTATATTGAAATGTCTGTCTTGTTAGGGTCAAAATAAGGTCCATTGTTTTCATTATTCATCGTGTTCTAGCCAAGCAAGGTACGGGAACTTTGGCGGCATCCTGGTTAAGATTCATCGTTATAGGCTTTCTGTTCATCCTCTTGTCAGGTCTGGCCGCCGTTGGGGATCCGAACTTTAAGACGTTTGAAGCTGCATACCCCTTTGTAGTTCAGAAGCTCCTCACCGAGAATTCTCCTGCAACAAGGAGAATTCTGTATTCGGTATGGCAACAAACTACTTAGAGTGAACATGTCTCAGTAGAGATCTGTTTCAGGCTTCAAAGAGAGAAACTTTTGTCTGTTTTTTAAGCATTTTGTCCATGAAAGACCGACTGAATTAAATTAGCATGAAAGAAAAGTTTATTAGAGTCTGCAGCTGAATCAGAGGAACTTCTGAAAATGTCGTTGTTGTTGGTGCTTTGCAGGTGGTTCTTACCCGAAGGAAGGAATTTCGATGGGAAAGGCTCTCTCTTTTCCTGAGTAAAAGTTCTACAAGGTAAGTGAATTCATGTTTTAAGTCATGAGACTGTTATACGCTGAAATTGGCATCTCTTCTCCACTTGTCTCAACTCCCTTTTCTACAACCCAATTGTCAAGCTAGATTCTTTTTCTAACCTCTGTTCTCTGTGTTCTAAGCCCCTATATAACAAGTTATGTCATACCCCTTTTTAAAAAAAAATTAGGAAACGCTTGCAATCGGTAGCATCGTCGAGTCAAGGAACTTCTGTCGACACCATTACCAATAGAACAGACACCATTGTTGACAGCACAAGTTTGATCCTGCGGCTATTAGCATCAAAAGATGGTGCTGTCCTTAGAAGACTTGTGGTCACTGCGGTGAGTTCTCTTCTTCTGTCCCCTTCCATAGGCTTTGAAGTTATAACTTAGTGTTTCACATTCTTAGATCCCTCTTGAAGCTGGCTCTGGCATTGATTTATATCTTCGAGTTTCGATGAACAGAATGGTACTTCATTGGTCCGGAAATTTGTCTCCCGAGAAGCCCATACGTTTCGCCAACAACTCTGCAGGACAGTAGCCGATATACTGTACCGATGGATGCTCCACATCACTGGATTCAGATCTCCGAAATTTGCTGTTACTTTAGATCCAACTTCAGGATTCAACTTGTCGTCGGCTCATGACTTGGGGGTTTTGGTCAGAGACAAACGGCTCAGGGTGATGATCAGGAAGATACTGGAATCTGCAAAGAAAGATCGAGTCTTGATGTTCAGATTCTGTTGTACTTCCTCTCTCTTGCTTCTCTCCGCAACCGCTATAGCTTGCTACCGGTTTCTCATCTCGGTGTCTGAAACTTGCATCAACTACCTATCACTTGCTGCCAAACCAGTCACCGTTCGGACCTGAAAATCCCTTGTCTCGCCAGACCCGTTCTTACCCAAGGAGAAGTCCTGCATTCTTTCGCACACATGAGGAATCGCAAAGAGGGCTCAAAGCATCAGGAAGAAGCATCAAACACCAATACAAGATCACATAATAGTTGATATTTTTAGTGTATAGACTTCACTTTAGGAAGAAGCAACACTGTTTTGTTTCCAGACAATTGCAGTGTTCTGTCATGATCGTGAACACACTATAAACCATTATATTTCGAAGAATAAACCCCAAACCCAGAAACACAACCTCTGTATCATTCATCACAGATTAATCACAGAATCAACAAAATGTGTATTTCTGTTTTTTGTGGTTTCAAGAACACATAGCCTTTTCCACCACTTGCTGCAACTCACCACTCTGAAAAGCCTCGAGAGCAATGTCACATCCACCGAAGAACTCACCTTCGATGTAAAGCTGAGGAAACGTCGGCCAATTCGAGTACTCCTTCAACCCTTGCCTCAGAAGCTCGTTCTCGAGAATGTTCACGTCCTCGAACGGCACATTCATCGTCTTCAGGATCTGCACGACCGTGTTCGAGAACCCGCACATCGGGAAATCCCTCGTCCCTTTCATGAACAGCACCACCTTCTTCGAGCTCACCAGCTTGTCCAGCGTCTCCCTCAGCTGCGGCGTCAGCGCCGACGCCCAGCACCGGAATCTATTCGCCGCCGTCGACGGCGAAGCGGCAGAGGAGAGGGAGGAGGTTCTGGGATTGAGCTTGAGGGTTGAAGTGGTGCCGAAGAACGAGGAATGGCGGTTGTCGACGGAGAGTGCTGCGGCGGCGATCGGATTCGATGCGAAATTGAACGAGTGAGGCTTCCTCACGCCGGAGACGGCGACAGAGGCGGAGGCGGAGGCGGAGGCGGAGGCGGAGGTGAACGGCGATTTGAGGGATCGAAGAGCCATTTTAGCGGAGACCTAAGAGAGAACCGAGGAAGTGAGAAAAGGGAATTTTTCTGGTCGCAGAGAAATTTGGCGAGCTCTGTGAAAAAAGATAAATAATTTTTAATTAAATGCAAAATTTAATCAGCCACAAAACAAACACTTGCTCTTTTGCCATTTGTTATTTTTCTTTTTTCAGCCAAAACAATTTCATATATTAATATATGAAACTGGATTTGCTTTTCAAATGAAAGCTTTTCTCTACTAAGATTTATTACACTTGATTGCTATTATTACAACGTTTATATCAGACAAATGAATGTTTTTTTTATAAGAATATACATTATTCAATGTGGTGAATGATTTTTTTTTAAGCTACCATAAAATAAATATGATATTTGTGCTGTGAATTTTGATCTATAATCTTTCAACAAAATTTATTGGAAAAAGAGAAATAAAAAAAGAAAGAAAATATATTGATTCATCCTCGAGTTCATCCCATTTACAAGAAACGTCAAACCCCCAAAATCATTTCGTGAAAGTGAATTCCGACAAGTCAACCTTCACATCCTCACCAACTCCCACTCCCTGTTCTTTCCCACCTCTCTCGCTTGGACTCGCCACGTCAGACTGCAGGTTCCGACCGGGGCTATTGTCGGAATCCACGATCTCACGGTGGTGACGAGACACACTCTGGGATTCCGGGTCGAAGAAACGGCTGCTTGGGCGGCCGCCGTCATGGTCGGAGAATCTCGGAGGAGAAGGAGAAGGAGAGAAGCTGCTCTGGTGGTCGAAGCTACTGCGGTGAGGGTAACTGTGAAGGAGATGGACCGGTGACAGTCCGTGGGAAGGCGTAGCCGGCCGGCTCGAGAGCGGCGTGTGCGGCTCGGAGTTCCCGTGCTTGGTGTGTCTCTTGGCCGTGTGGTGCCAGTTCCTCAGCGCCGTCGCCACCCTATCGTTGAATATCGTCGGTCTCATCGTCGATCCCATCTGTTTAGGGTTTCGGTCAACCATCGATTAGGGTTTACGGTGAAAACATTATATGCAATATGATCATATGGCTAATTGTTTACCTGTGTCACGAGAGCGTAGAGGGGTAGAGTGATGTAACTGCACAGAATCTGTATCAAAACCCTGCACGTTTCCACGACGGAAAGGATAGCTAATTAGGGTTTTCGATCGTTCTCTGAATTATGTGAACAAGATTGGCAAATTAGGGTTTATCGTGTGAGGGAACTTTACCCCATCGTGATTCTGATGACAACATCCTCAGTCTTGTGGTGGAAACAGTTCTTGAGGGTGAATTCGTACTGCAAAAGGTAAGATCAAGATCGTTAACCCGAAACGAACGGCGAACGAACCGGCTTCGATTCATTTTCCGTAGCAAATTAAAATCCATATCTTACCGTACTCCAAACGAAGAAAGCCAACTGAAATGCGTTCTGCAACACAAACAAAGATATGCCACACACAAGGGGGATGGATTTTCTTGTTAGGATACATTCTCATCCAAGAATTAATAGCTAGCAAATGTTTAATATACTATGACAATATGATAAATTAAAAAATATATATATTATATTTTTTTGTGAATCTTAGAATTGTATAACTTATATATGTTTTTCTATTCAAATTCTATAGATTTTTATAACAAAACTAAAATATTATATTTTTTAAAATAATTTAGATAGTTGAGGAATTGTTCTTATTAAAATTAATATTTGATTTTTTTTTATAACAAATTCAAAGTGAAGTATAGTTTTTAAATAATTTTATATAGGTGATAGTGTTTTTTTTCAAAAATAATAATTGATGATTTATTGTAATAAATTTTAAGTTTTTTTTTTGTGCAAGTTAAATAGTTAAATTTGTCCCAAGAATTAATGGGTTTTATATGTAATGAAATCGTTTCGATTTAAGGATCTAAAGTAATAATACCGTGAAAAGAACCAAGTGAATGAGGAAGAGGATGAAACGAGGACGGCCGAACCAGAAGAGATCGTCGCCGGGCTCAACCACCGGAGCTCCTTTCACGACATCGCCTTTGTCTTGTATTCTCAATCCTAATTTCGTTATTATCACTTGAAGTTTTGCTCCTACCACAAGTATTACCTATATATATGAATCATATATATGCATAAGAAATGTATCATATAACAGTACTTGAAATACTTTTCTTTAAAAAAAAAAAGATTGAACACTGTATTTATATACGACATTAATTGTGTATTCACTTACAACTAATGGGATGAAGGGTAACCAAAGATATGAACTCCATCCTATAGTAGCACGATCACAAAAGGGGAGACGAAACAAATAATTGATATATGAATTAGGGTTGTGTTAAATGAAATTAAATTATAATTATTGAGATTTGATAAGGTGATTTGGAACTCACCATGTGTGTTGGTCAATATGAATAAGACCGCAATGAACCAAATAACGGGACTGCATTTGCATTGCATTCACATGCACACGTATTATTAGTAAGCATGGATTCAAATTAACAACATTAATCATACATGGATTCGAATGAAATAGAATGGACCGACCTTATTCCAACGACCACCTTGAAATCTTCTTCCAACGATCTTTGGATATACTTTTGAAAATCGAACCTCACTGCACTTCCCGGCGGTAAATGTGCCTGAAACCCCCACAGTTAAAAACATTGACCTATTCGGGTAAAAAAAGAACTTCGAATTCGATATATAAAGAGAAATTAAGATTGAAATTTGGTAGTGAATTATTATAACCATAATAAATCCGTGTCTAAGCGTCAAATAATCCACTTTGGTCACCGATCCAAAGAATTGCCTGAAGAAACATGCCTGCAAAAAATTGCAACAATTTCCATGTCAATATAACATCATTTCGATTAATTTCCATCAAATACGTTAAAATGCTCTTTTAGTTATAAAAAAAAAGTTCCCTTTAAAAAAAATTAGACCGTGTAACAGATATATATATATATATATAGTTAGAGTTATTAAAAGTCTTTGAACTTACAATCCAAAGAGTAACAGAAGATTTGCTCCAAATATTCAAATGTCTGCGTCCAAAGGACGTATCTCTTGCAAATCTGAACCTCTCTGGGTCTGCGTTGTCGAAAACATTATCAATTCACTCAGCATCAAATATCATATATTAAAATAATTTTTTTTTAAAATGTTACATAAGTTAATATAATAAATTCACAAGTCAAACAAATCAAGCCGATTCTGAGGTTAATTTTTTTAATCCAATTGTTACCCAATGGCAATGATCCACGTCAACTAATTTTTTTAATTCACTTGGGTCAACAAAACCATAATTATTTAATCATCTAAAATTGATTAATAATAAAGTCCCGGATATAAAGGTTCCGTGCGTAACATCGCCAAAGTCATTTCAATCACTACCAAAAGCAGCTTTTTATAAGTAATTGATCATACACAATGTGCATATATATTGGACCATTTGGTTTGAACCACACAAACATTATCTAACCAAATAGCCCAAACAAATTTAATTTAAAAAATTAATTGCATTTTTCTAAATCAAATTGATCCGAAAATCGACAAAAATCTAATATCTATACTTTTTCTTTAAATTTGAAAACTTGAACGCTGAAATGACCAAATTAAAAACGAAAGAAATCCAAATTAAAAAAAAAAAGATTCGATGACTACAGAATTGGATTTTTGCCGTTGGATTTAATTAAGAAAATGAAAAGTCGTACCGTTGGCGTATTGGTACTCGATAGTCTTTGTCTCTTTCTCCCATTTTTTCCACTTCTTCATCTGCAGAAACCGAAACGACATATATACACATTACACAAGCAACGACAAACATCATACATGTGTACATACACACACATATATATATATATATGTGTGTGTAGATATGAATGTACCTTTGTACTTCCCAAAGCGTACGTCATAATACAATATATCACATGGAAAACAGCCAACACAAAGATGAATATATGTAGCTGATGGATACCGTACGCTGATACAAGAGCGACTTTACCCTGAAAAAGCATAGCGAAGAAGAAATAACCCAAAATTATGAGATCAATTTACTAACCAATCCTTAAATATGATGAGATTATATATATATATATATATATATATATATATATATAGAATCATGCCTTTTCTGCACATTTGTCATATCCTTTTGTGGCCAAACTCCGTCGAGGGTTATACAGATCGAAATCCGAATCTTCTAGAAGCTTCCTACCGTCATCGATGTAATCTTTACCGTATTTACTGAGCTCGAGTTTACTGTTGCAAGGATGCCAAGTCGCGGCTACGTCCCCCGGGATGCAAATGTTTGAGATTGGCGATTGGAGTACCGTTAGAAGAAGGGATATGAATCCCATTAGCATAAGCTCTACGTACCCAAACAAAACCGACAAATCGGATTAGATGATGTTTATATAGCTAATGTGTTGAAAAGAAGTGTACGAAAAATGTGAATAATGAAATTTTTTTCACGTACCGGCTTTAACTTTCTCTAGAGCTTCGTACAAAGCCCTCTTGTGTTTCCTTTTAAACCACTGCCCAATAAAAGAAGATGGGTTTTTACGGTCCGTTTACTATGATTTTTTTTTTTGGTTACGGAATTAACAATCGATTTTACAACTTTGTAACATATCGAACTCAAAAATACAAAAACTAAGATACTAGCTCCTCTTTTTTTCCGGCTAAGGAAGAAGTATACATCGGTACTCGGCTCCATGAATTTCTACGGATTAGGGTTCGTAACAAAACCCTAATACGATCATCAAATCGGATAAATCCACGTAGAATCAATAGAAGAAAAAAAACACGGTTGAACTAATCTTATAAATAAAATTCGAAATATGAGAGTAGGGAAAAGGAAAGAGTAGGGAATGTGACTCACGTGACCGACAAAGTGTAAGAAATATTCGATCAAGATCGAGATGAGAACGAGAACGAAGCAAACTACTGCGACAGCCCACGTCGGCGTCTCTTCCAGTGATCTCTCTTTTATCGCCATTTAAATTTCTTCAAACCTTCGTATCGAAATCCCACACGCGGAAAGACAGAACAAAAAAAGTTTATTTTTTTGGGATGAGAATTATTAAAGGGTTTAAGCTTCTCAAGTATTGCCGGACTGATGATTACTTGGAAACATATATAAACATTTATTATATAGTATACATATGATACGAAGAGACATGTGTATATATACACACTTATATATATATACACACATTACAATGATGAATATGTGTATGTAATGTATGGACACGGTCTGAATCATCTCCAAGAGGCGAGAGAGGAAGTCAAAGAAGAGATAGCCGCAATATTTTTATTTGAAATTTTAAATATTTTGAGGAAAATAATAATTATAAGGGGAAGCGAAGACTTTTGACTATTCAAAGATAAAGACTTGATGAAGTGTTTCAACTATCTTTGGTCCTTCCGTGGAACTACGACCGAAAATGCCACCAACAACTTGGGAAGAAAAATAAAACAAAACGGGTATTCTTTTTTTTTTATAAAACAATAAAATGTAATTGAATGTATTCTATGTTGTAAACAACAATATTTATGGAATTATTTTTTACTGCCAAAAAAATGCGAATAGAAGTGGGTATATGATAGAAACATATAAAGCAAAATAGTTTCTAATAAGATTGTTCATTTATATATTATATACGTGGAGGGCGAAATAAATAAATAAATAAATAAATAAATATTTTTTAATAATTGATAGAGTTATTGATTTAATGAGAAATATTATGTGACATCATGGGCCTAATGAAACGACAAAAAGAGAGAAAAAAACTCCTAAAATGACCTAATAGTGATTATGATTTTTGTTTTTGCACACATAGAGTTATTATACACACACACACATATATATATATATATATATAAGTTGTGTTATAATTGAAAGGGAACTGATTAGACAATTATAACTGTAATTTTCAAATATAAGCTCTTTCTTATTATATATTCAAATGGCAACCAAGAAATTCAAACATAGCAACAACATAAACCAACGTCACATTTAACCAGAATTAATCCAACCAATTCATTTTAAACCATCTAATATATGTATTAGATGGTTTATGATATTCAAACATGTTCTTTAGTAAAGGAGCAACCGAGAAATTCACAGCATAGCAACCAAACATTAAACCACTACAAATGATAATAAACTGGTAAAACCCAAACATTAAACCGGTCTACAAATGTAAACGAACAAATCATATTTAACCGGATCCAAACCGGTCGAATTCAACGCAAACCAACTATATATGCCTAAAAGTAAAAAAAAAATACAAAGATTTTTTATTTATTTTATAAAATGGATACCCAAACAAGATACGAAACCTCTAAAAAATTTTCTTTCTAATATAAGGAGAGGTTTCATGTGGAAAAAAATAAATTTTTGCTGAATTTGTTTTTAACTCAAAATTTCTTTTTTGCCCAATTTTCAGTTTTTTTTTTTTCTCGTGGCAAAATATTTTCATGGTTCCTTTTAAATCGGATATTATTCGCTATGGGATAGTCAACATAATTAATAGATCAAAATATTTGGTACGTAACGTAATTTTTTGTTTTGTAGATATACGTAAACAAATAACACACGAAAGTATACGGAATAAAAGCACGGGAAAGTAAATATTTAATTATTATATATATGTGTGTACTTGAAATAAACAATATTTACATGTAAATAGATGTATTCTTTCATTCCGATATTGGTGGAATAATTACAGAAATATGGCAGCAAAGATTGTCAACTCAAGTTTAATTTGACTTCAAGTGATAGTCAAACAAAACCCCGAATAAATAACTAATATAATTGTTTTATATCTATTTGTTCATTGCAATTGCAATTACTTAGAGTTTTATTTGTATATCCTAGATTAAAAATACTCAGGTTTAAGATCCAAAATCTCCAATTGTCTTGTGGTCCAGCATAGAATGATTGGTTCAACGCATTGACATTTAAAGAGAAAAATGCCAATAATATTATGTGTAGTTGCCTCGAATTGGTTTTCGAATATTTATATTTTATGTTTAAATAAAAAAGATTTGATTTTTGGTGAAATACAACATTACAATAAAATTAGTTGGATGAATGATTCTTTCTTCGCATTAAGAGTTTTGAAAGATGATCACACATTTTCTGATTACATGATGAAAATATTTGATTCTCGATTCCAAATTTCGATTTTTTATAAATTTTCCAACTCTTCTAATAATGAAGCTTTTTTTAATAAAAATTTCACGAAGTCTTCTTCTAAATATTAATAATTATTTTTTATTATTGTGTTTGTCACAGATTTTCCTTTAATTTTTATAGTATTATATGAAATTTTATTTTCTATTTTGCTTAAACGGGTATCATAGAAATTATCCCAAATTCTTTCTTTCAATTCTAGAACTTAATACAGTATCGTAGATATTGGCTCCGCTTGCGATCAATCGCAATTTAAATGGAGGGGAAAGATTGCATCGGATTTTACGATATATTAATTTAAATGGAACTCACCACTTGCAATTTTATTTTCCCATTTAAGATTCCGTTATTTATTCTATCAATGTCACAAGCTTGTCCTTGAAAATAGGAATTAAAAACGTGCGAGATTTGAAAAAATCGATACGTATGGTATGATGTTTTTGGGTTAACCGATTTTTTTTTTTATAACCAAGATGGTTCTCGAACCTTCGATCCGACTATATTCACCCTAGACCCGGAACCATCCTTTGTATATAGACCATTTTGGTCCAGAAATTATATCCTCACCAGTAAAATCAAACCCAGAAACTTAAGGATGATTTTGTCACCTCTCGACCACTAGATCACCAACTGTTGGGTTGGATTAACTAAATTTACTAAATATTTTTTTAAAAAAAATTTACTAAATATTAAAATGATTAGAATTAATTCCTTTCTATTTAAAATGATAAGCGATAAGTTTAATTATTTTTAAGATAAAAATTTCTATAAATTTATTTTTTCAAAAAGAATAAATAAAAGCAAACTAATAGAATTTCAAGTAAATAATAAATATTTTTTAAGATACGCGAAAGACATAAGTGAGACAATGGTGAGAGGGTGTGACGGAGACTGTGAAACTGTTAGAAATCTGGGATATAAAAAGAACAAGAAAAATAAATCGGGAATCGGATAACTCTTCAAGGCGTGATACACTTTCTTAAAAACGTTATTCCGTCCTATACGAGCAAAGGACTTTCCGGAATATGTTTTTGAGATACAATGAAAAAAAAAGTGATCTTAGTTTGCTCTCCTAAGATTACAAACACAAGAAACTGCAAGAAGAAGATGAACAAAAAGCTTTTGTGAGTGTTTTGCAAGAACAATCACAAAAGTGCTCTCAAATCTCTCAAAAAATAACTTGGATATGTTCTCTTTCGTATTAGGATGTCTAAGGGTGTTTATAAACACTCCAAATGTCGAAAGGTGTGAAGAAATCGGAAGTTTTTTTCGAACGGTCGCGATTTTTCGTTATTTCTGAACTGCTCAGAAAAAACGGGCTGCCCGCCCATTTTTTCGAGCTACCCGCCCGTTTGTTCCCGAACTGCTCAGAAAAAACGGGCTGCCCTCCCGTTTTTTCGAGCTACCGTCCATTTATTTCTGGGCTTTATTCCTCAGAAAAAACAGACTGCCATCTCATGTTTTCGAGCTGCCCTCCCATTTTTTCTGAGATCACTCTCCACGTTCAAAACCGAACGTAAACTCTTCCGACGAATCCTTAACATTTAACCAATTCATGACACGTCTTTTACAAGCATTTAACTCCTCTACCATACTCGTAATACACGTGAAGTATGAATCCTTTTGAGAGATTCTAAATTCCCATTCATTTACTCTAAAAATCACAACAATCCTCCACCATTTTTAGAGTAAATTAAACAATGGCATATTAAGCAAATAATCATTCATCTCCACAATTCTGCGCATAAATGAAAGTGTCTTTACGATTGAATTTTCACTTAGTGTAATATACAATAATAAACTCGAATTCCGTAGGTGTCGAAAACGATTGAACCTACGTAATCCTAGCTGAGCTACCGAGTATACACACACACAGAATCAATACAATTAATACAATTTCTTGTACTCCTTGACACTGTATCGGCCATGTGTCCATTAGGCTTGGGCACGGGTCGGATACCCGAAAAATTCAGGGTATCCGGATTTGGATCCGAATCAATCGGATACTATATTTTAGGATTCGGATTTGGATTTGAAAGTTCCGGGTATCCGGATTACGAGTATCCGATTTGATATCCGGGTACTTGCGGATACCCGGATCCGAAATTATTTCTATAAAAAAAAAGATATATAGATATTAACTTTCATTTAAAACCAAATTAAAGGAATTGTTATAATCCTTACAGCATAATTCTTAAAACATATAAACAAACAACGATCAGAACTATATATTGTTGATCAATTCATCAGCTTCAACTCCACCACTTTCTAACGTCAGTCCATTAACAAGTGTCTACCTGATACAACAAACATCAAAAAAATGAAACCAAATGTATATTTAAATCAATTGAAAATCAATCTAATATCACATTAATAAAAGTTTTATATCATTGAAACATATTGCAACTTAACATCACCTTATTGGTAATCAACCTTGCTAAAGACGTCAATTCCTTGGAAGTGTAGAATCCATTACTCCAATCAATCCAAAAAAAAATAGCAATTGATGGATTTATACTTCATTCAACCTGAAATAATTGATACTAAAAAGAAAATTAAACAAAACAAGATAAAAACATATCAAAACCTTATTAGCTACTGACCTCGGTGTTGCAATAGAGGATTAACTACTCCAATCAATCCAAAAAAATACAGCAATTGATTGGATGTCTTGAACAAAAAGTACAACAAAAAAGATTTCCCAATCGTTAGATATCTGCATTCAAATGTTGAAATCATCAATAGAAAATTGTTGTAAATAACAACAAACTTAAAATTAAATAAAGTGATATCAGAAACATTCAATACCTAGTTCTGCTACCCTTGAAGGTGGAAATTCTGCAACATAAAACAAGTAATTAGTATAGATGTTTCAAATATTTAAAATCAAAGGAAAATAAAAGAAATCATACCTTCTTCAAACTGTTCAAGATCTTCCAATGTTTCTTCAA